GTGGGACACAGGCTGTCTTGGTTGGTGGTTACGAATGTTTAGTGGGGCCCATGTTTGCAGTCACCCAAGCGACTCTCATGGAGGGAGAGGAGGGGCTGCTCCACTTAATAAATGAGGATTCTGAGACACCCGAAGAGGGCGGTCCACCTGGGGATGTCTGCAGAGCCAGGGCATGAACACAGGGCTTGGTTCTTGCCGGCCTCAGATGACCCCATCCAGCCTTTGGGGAAATGGGGCTCAGGGTGGGGCTTGGTGCTGGCCACTGTCGTCAGTCTGCCGGACCTCACGTGATAAGAATTCTGGGGGAACAGAAGCTGTGGGGATGTGAGAAGCCCTGAGCTGGGATGGTGAAAGGTGGCTGAGTGCCTCCACTGCCCACCCTGTGTCCAGGGCAGACAGGGCTAGTCGATCACAGCAGTTCACATCTGTACGTAGCCTCCCCCCACTTCTCACCTCAGCCTGCCAGGTAGCTCCAGCCAAGCAATCAAAACTGGCCCTAAAAATCTTTGGGAAGAGAGGCGACAGGACTGGGGCTCAGCGGTCCCCATGAGGGCCTTCACCATGCTCCCCTGGGCCCCCAGACCCTCTTGGGCTCCAGGCCACCTGGGTAGGGACCCCCTCCTGGGGCTGTATCACGACTTTGGTGAACCTCTTCATCCAAAGAAAAACTAAAACATTGTATTTTAAAACTGCATTGGTATAAAGACTGGATTCATTATTGATATGCACTATTATATGAATTTCTTTCCTTTTAAAAGCATTTTCTTAGGTTCCTAACAGTATGGTGGGCCCTCAGCCCTGTGCCCTTTGCGCCTGATGAAGTCGGCCCTGCCCCACCCCCAGCTCCCCAGAGCGGGCAGGGCCCAGAGCTGGGGGGAGCGGGGGACACACCGGCACAGGCCCGGCCTGCTCGCGAGGGGTTGGCGTCCCTGGCCGTCAGGCACCGGCAGGTGTAGGAGCCCTCCAGGTTGATGCACTGGGCAGCCGGCGAGCAGTCGTGCTCCAGGCTGTCCGCACACTCGTCCCAATCTGTTGGCAGGAGAGAGACAAGACAGGAGCCAGTGACAAAAAGGCCAGAGGCTGCTCAGAAAATGAGTGGTAACAGAGCAGAGCTTTTCCCGATTGTCTGTGCAGCAAGTGGCCCAAAGGACAAGGCGAGGAATCAGTGACGTGCCATGGTGTCCAGCGTAGAATGGGGGGGCCCTGCTAGAACCTTCCCCGGGAGCCTGAACCTGGACCATGGCCACGAGCCGCGCGCCTGCCTGCGTGGCCCTCACTACTGGCTGGCTGATTTGGGGGCAAGGATTAGGGGATGTTGGCTCCTTTGGGGGGCACAAGCACACACCGGCGTGAGTATATTTCTCCCTCATTCATCTTTTGTTCCCAAACCCAAATCTCTCTGAGGCACTGACATCCTCTAACATTTAGTGTTTCAAGAAAGAAATAGGAAATGACAGAGCCAAGAGGGGCCCGTTAGGTATGCCATGACCTGTCCCCGACACGGATAGGAATGGCCCTTGAGCACCCCTCCAGAAAGAACTCTGAGTCCCAAACCCCCACATCACCAGGAAGCCCTGACCCCCTCCTGTAAATCCCCACATGGCCCCAGCCCTTGCTCACCCACCCTCACCGTCTCCAGCCCTGCCTTTTCCAATCAGAGGGCAGCCGGGACTCCCGAGGCCACTCTGGGAAAGAAACTTCCTCTGGGAAACCAGTCCCACCTCTTTCTCCCACCCTCTCTTCTCCCCTCTTCTGGACCCCCAGGGACCGCCACCCCCTACTCCTGTACCTGCTTCTGGAAAGCCTTTGATGGTCTCATGCATTTTGATATCTGACTAATCAGTAAAGTGCTGCGTGCAGTAAGCATGATAAACCTGAAGGGATAAATATCTCAAACTGTCTTCCAAGCTGGGAGGGGCTGAGGTGGGGGCAGTTTTCCCACACCCCTAGAATTCCATCCTTCAGCCCAGACCCAGCTCTTTGAGTCACTGCCTGTCCCAGCCTCCTCCACTCCCCAGGGGAGCAGGTGGCTCTGAACAGAGTCCCCTCCGCCAGCAGGGCAGGCTGGGGCCCGAGAAAGGGCTTGGGTTCCCAAGTGGGGGTGGGCTGCGAGGCCTTCTGCACAAAGTTCCCTAGAGCTGCTGGCGGAGTGCCCGACTCACGGCCAGTGTGCCAGAGAAGCCAAGCATGACTGGGATTCCAGTCAAGACAAGGGACGGGTTCAGTTTTGTGCAGAGAAAACTGCAGCCGAGCACCCAGAGGCCCATTGTGTTGTTCGCAGTTTTGCTTCATGTGATCTTCACAGAAGCAGCTCCCCCAAGACCAGCAGGCTCACTCATCAGCTGTTGCAACAGTTATACACACACATGTGCATACATACACATGCATGTGCACATGCATACACACATATGCACACAAACGCACGTGCACACACATATACACATGTGCACATGCATACACATGCACACACATACACATGCACACACATACACATGCACACACAAATGCACATCCATGCACACACACCAATGCACACACACCAGGCCTGGGCTCCTTCACAGACAGGGCCCTGCTGGCCTGGCCCCCAGACCTTTCTGGAACCTTGCCCAACCTCCAGCCTGTAGGCAGCTCGAGGGTGCTAGGGGGCTCGGACCGGGGACAAAGCCCAGGCTGCCTGGCAGCAGGGCCCTAGGAGAGCAGGACTCAGTGGAGACTTGGTCTCAAACCGCTAAGCACCTGGTAGCTATTTTTAGTGGTGGTGACTCACCTAGCCTTCGCTCCCCCAGCACACAGTTCGCCAGCAAGCCCGACTAGGGTGGGGACAGCTTTATTTGACTTTGTGTTAAAGACTGAGGTCAGGCGGTTCTCCAGTTCAGGCAGGGGAGGCAGGTCTGCAAGCTGTTAGAGCTGCCCTTGTGGCCTCCGCACCTCCTGGGCTGCGCGGACAAGGATGCGGGGCCCCGTGTAGGAAGCTGCAATCTGCTCCTTTGGGCCCTGACACTGGGACAAGGACAAGGCCCACTTCCTAGAGGAGGGGGACAGCCACCGCAGAGCTTCCACTCCTGGTTCAGGGGCCCCGTGCTCCCAGGAACGAGTTGAGGAAGTCCCAGGACAGGCCGCCCTCTCTCAGAAGGGGCAGGCTCCTCAGGGGGCCCCACGCTGTCTTTGGGGCCCAGGTGCCCCCTCGGAGGTGAAGTCTGGGCCAGAGCCCCCCATCACTGGGGGCTGGTGTCACATTCACACGAGCGGGGCAGGGCGGGCACAGACAGCCTGGCACTAAGGCGCCGTGTGCAGCAGCTGGACCAAAGGCAGCACCGCTAACTGTAAAGCAAGCAAGCCCACTCTGGCAGGCCAGGGGGCTGGTGACAGTCCCAGGGCCAGGCTCCCTCTGTTCACAGCCCTTCTCCTGCTGCCTGCAGAGGGGACAGGTGGCTGCGATGCTGGGAGCTCTGGGGACACAGGCCCCTCCTGACACTCACAGGAGAAGGTGGCGCTGTGGTGACTGCAGAGATGCCAGAAGACCCAGAGGAGTCCTCACACGGGACAATGCTGTCGCTAGAGCCTCATCTGGCGGCCATCTGCACAGACCACTGGAGCGCAGAGGGCCACGGGGAGGCCTTGTGAAAGCCCCGTTGGTCATTGTCACTTGAGAGCAAATGAGCAGGATGGTCCTTCCTGAAAGCAAACCTCGAGGACGGGGGGGAGTCAGGGGCAGGAGACCCAAGGGTAGGGCCGATGAGGAGCAGGGAGAGGTGCCCCCCGTGAGGAGGACCAGCGGGGGGCCCAGGGGACGCTGGAGGGCCTTCCTGGCCGGAGAACCACCGGAGATGTGAAAATTGGCCCTAGAAGAGTTACCCTGAAATGTGGGCGGGGCCGTCAGCGGCACGCCCGGCCCTGCGCTGCTTCCCACACCCACATCCCCCTCCGTGGACCCACCACACCAGAGAGGTGGGACGTGCCGTGGTCTTTCCATTTCCCAGATGAGCACACCGAGGCCAAAGGAGCTGAGGCCACTGGAGCAGGGTCCCACCTGAGTGTCAGAGCTGGGATTTAAGCCTTCCGATTCCCTCATGAGCTGTGAAAGACGCGCCATGCCACCACGCCTCCTCCTTTGGGGCCAAGGGAGCAGGACCTGCCAGCCGCCCCTGAGGGTGTGGCTCGTAGGACCAGGGCCTGCTCAGCATCCAGGCCGCCCAATGCGGGCACGTCCTCCTGGAGGAAGACCCAGGACACGGGCCACCCAGTGGCCCCAGGATGGACTGGCCTCACGGAGAAGATGAGGTCATGACAACGTGACCTCCTCACTGTCAGGACACGTTGACTCACTGGTGGTGAGCACTCCCAAATGATGCAGGAACGCTCAGACGCAGCCAGCGACATCACCGCGGCGTGAGCCGCAGAGGAGGGGAACTCGGGCATGTTGCTTTTCTGCAGAATGGCAACGACTGTTGTTTCTGGGCCTGCAGGGCAGAGGACTCTCTCAGGAGCAGAAAATGCCTTCTCCACACAGGGGCTCAGGCCTGTTCTGGCCCCCTATCGGGGGCCTGTGTCCTGGGGACTGTCCTGTGGGCTCTGGTGTCAGAAGCCAGCTGAAACTGGGTCAGAAGAGTATACAGGCAGCGCGCCTCCCCTGCCAATTGCCCGCACCAGGGGCCTTTCCTCAGCTGCTGCCCGTCAGCCCATCAGCCCGGAGGTCAGCAAACAGCCCTCTGTTTGTCGGGGACACTCGCTGCAGCGCCGAGCCTGCTCTTCGCATCTGAGGGCGCTCCTGGAACTTGGTGGGGACGCTTAAAACGACTTGTTGAGAACCCTATGCTGTGAGCCATACAAGGTACCTCTTCTTCCTCCAAGTTTTCTGAGGCTGCGTAAGAAATGACCACATGCTTTGAAGCTGGCTGAAAACAGCCAAGTACATCTGTCACAGTTCTAGCGTCCAAAGTCCAAACTCCGAGTGTCACAGGTCTGGGTTCCCTTTGAGGGCCGCAGAGGAGGGTCCTTCCTCCTCTTCCAGTTTCTGGGGCCTCAGGTGTTGCTTGGTTTGTGGCCACGTCATTCCACCTTCACGTGGCCTCCTCCCTATGTCTTCTCCTCTTCTGTCCCTTCTAAGGACACTTGTCATTGGATTGGGGGATCACCCTAATCTAGGGCGATCTCAGGTCCTACCTTAATTTCATCTGCAAAGAGTCTTCTTCCAAATAAGCTCACACTCTGAAGTTCTGGGTGGACATATCTTTTGGGGGGCCACCATTCGACACACTGCATCATTTGACAAAGGTCTGGAGTAACCTAAACCCAGGGCCTGGGGACATGGCTGGGAAGTGGAGCATAGGGGCTGCTGGGTTACCCGCAGGTGGCCCCCATTTGGCCCCAGGTGGGCCCCGGGGGCAAACACTGAGGACCCGACCACAGGGCACCGAGGGCCAGCCAGGTGCAGAGAGCCACTGCCGGCACCGTCCCTGAGGGGACCCCCCCAGGCTTGGCAGGCAGATTTGACTTCAGGTGTGACTCTCCCTCAGCCTTCCCTGCATTCTTGGGTGGGGGGAAGTTAGGACAGCAAACCAGCGCAGCACAGCTCAAAGCAGACGACCGAGCTCCCGTGGGGCCTCAGAGGGACGCTCACTCCACAGACTGAGCCTCAAACAGGCTGGTTGATGTAGAGACTGTCGGTGTCCTCACTGCCTGAGGGAGCTTTGTCCCTACGTTTGAACGGCACATCAGTGCACTGTCTGTCCCTCTCTGTCTCTGTCTCTGTCTCAACCCCCCCACCATCTCTCTCTCTGTCTCTCCATCTTTCTCTCTCTTGGTCTCCTCCCCTACCCCATCCCTGAGCTGTGACTTCCTGCTTCAAGGCAACACCAAGTGAAATCACACAACGTCTGGGCTGACACAATAGGCCCGGGTGTCAGCGAGTGCCGTGGAGGCAGGCGGTGCTTGAGCCCTGACACGGACACAGGAAGCTCCCGCCCTCTTCTCGTACCCCCGGACCCTCCAGCCCGGTTCCACCTTGAGCCCTGGGCCTGCGGCAGCCGAGCAGCACCCTCCGAGATGATAAGCTCCCCAGGCTCTACGGGTTGCTTCTCCGCTCTGGGACAGCAGGTGTGGGAAGCAGGTGGGCTCACTGCTGCAGCGCTGCGGCCCTAAGCCCCTGGTGCCAGTGCAAGATCACAGAATAAGAATTCTAATTTCACTGGGTTTATCCTTTGGAATCAAGTCAACGCTGACCCACAGTGCTGCAGCCTGTGACGCTGGAGGGCCTGGCGGCGGCACAGCCCGGCACCCTGGTGGGGAGGGGAGCCTACCTTGCACGTGTGTCCCCCGCTGGTCAATATGGAACACGGTGCTCGTCCACAGCCGCGGGAGCATGGGGGCCAGCGTGGAGACGCCCACCGGGAACTCGGGGTCCTGCACCGTCACCCGGAGCTTCACGACCACACTTCCGGCCTCAAGGGACACGATCTGCAGCCTCAGCTCCCCTCTTCTGTACAAGTCAGACAGCGCCGGCGGAAAGGAGCTTTCAACCTAGCCGAGGAGACGCAACAGCCACGCGGTAAGCAGATTTTCCATCAGCATCTTCGAAACCGTCAGGCGGGCCCCGGGCGCGGCTGGCAGATGGTGCATAGAATCCGTGTGTCCCCTTAAGGGGAGATGCCCAGCCACCAAGCTCTCGGGGAAGCAGAGACGTCCCCCGGCTCACTACACCCCACCCAGGCTTCCCCTGGGACAGCAGGCCTGGCCTCTGTGAGAATTCAGTGACTACTCCCAGGTCCCCGCCGTGGAACATGAGATGCAGTCCGCCATGTGTACCCTGAAAGTCGGTGTGAAGGTGAGTTACGTGTGTGTGAGAGAGAGGGGCTGCTGGATTGACTGGTGAGTGGATTGACCACGGGGGCGGGTCTCTGAGGAGCAATCTTGTGGCTATTTGGTGCTGTCCCCACCCCCAACCCACCCCCACCTTCCCTCACCCCCCACAGGGCTGTATCTCTCAGGAAACACACAGGCAAAGCCAGAGGCTCAGGGTCACCCCTGTAGGAACAAGGGGACACCAGGCTTGCCGCGGCTGCCTACCACCCCATTCCTGCACACCCATGTGAAAACCACTGAAGAGAAAAGGGAATTCTCCAAGAAAGTTCAAAACCAATTTCCCCTGCAGGTGAATGTCGCGAGGCGGCTGTCCCTCTATCTCTGACATTTCTACACGTTTTGCAAGTAGAAGCACTAACTGCCCCTCTGTTCCGGAATATCTTTCCAAGGTGTCTGTATGATGAACAGTCTTGGAGGAGAGAGATCACGGCCCCCTCCCGGCAGAGGGAAGAAGTGGTCATTGGCTGATGTAATAAAGGCCATGTCTCCTTCTGAGCAAGGTTTAGACAGGTTTGCTCGCAGCCCATTACAAAGGTCCTGGTTCCCCAAGCACGGGGTTCCTCCGCTGTGACGCAGGCCCACTGCGTGTGCGCCGCCTGCCTGGGCCCCTCCGAGTCACCCCGTGGGCTTGGAGCCCAGAGGAGGGCTGGCACATAGTGACGATCGTGCTGTGCCATCCTTGGCCTCTGCCCCGGACATCTCGTGTCTTCTGCCCGCATCCATGCTGGAACAGGCTAACTTATTAGTTTGCAACAAGGGTAAAATCTTACACCTTTCTCGGTTCTTGACAGCTTGGCAAGTCACTTTTTTCTCTAGTTGATCCTAGCACTTGCCATTGGGCTGGTTTGCCCAGGCTGCGTGCTGATGTCTCCCGCTGGCCCCAGGGAGAAACGGGTGCCATGGTCACCAGTAAGCGCTTCCTCTGTGAAGCAGCTCCAGAGTGCAAAGACAGATCCCCAGGTCCCCCAGGTAGAAGGTGACAGAAAGCCCAGCTATACCTCCAATCCAGCGGTGTCACCCATTTGAATCACGGGCAAATTTCAAAGATGGTTTGGCCCCAAATCTAGATTAAGTCTCCCATAAAAGGGAGAGGGGAAGGGTTGAGTAATTACTGTGGGGTTTGGGCTGGGGGCCCCTGGCTGTGGGGACGTGCACTTGTGCCACAGTCACAGAGAAGGCGCTCAGGGGACCGTCCAGCTCACGTGGGTCCCTCGCTCAGAACACCGAGGAAAGCTCACTGTTCCCGCTCTTGGCCTCACCTCATGAAGCAGTTGTCGGGAAAACTCCCGATGCTCGCGGCTCTCGCGGTTCAGCAGCGTCTCAGTCAGCGTGCGGTTCAGGATTCTCAGTGTGACCTGGAACACCTGGGCATCTGGCAGACAATCAGGCAAATTAGCTGAAAGCCCGTGATCCAACACCGCACGCTTTTCCACCACCGTCTTCCATAAAGCCTAGTCTTTAGAGGGGACATTTTTCTTATAGATTAAGGAATGCGTGTTAGATTAGGGTAGCGAAAACGGGGAAAATCACGCTGTCTCCACGCTGGGGTGGAGGATGTCCCTGACATAAACACAGCTCATGGCTGTACAGGTGTACATGCAGGGCAGGGACATCGGGGAACAGGCACAGCTGTCACCCACAGTCCCCACCAGCTGCAGCTGGGGCTCACCCGGCACGTGTCGGGTACAAAGGCCCCCCAGCAGACCCTCATGCAGTGTGGCCACTGCCTTCCCTTGAGCCATTCACAAGCACAGACCCCAGCTATGTCCTCATGCTGGGCCCCACCCGGGCCCCCAACGCTCAGGTGACCAACTTGTCCCGATTTGCCCTGGCCTTCCCGGGTTTTGAACCAAAAGTCCCACCTCTCAGAACCTGCTCTGTCCTAGGCAAACCAGTGGAGTTGGTCACCCTTCCGGGGAGGTGTCCTTTCCTTTGGACATAGCGAATCAGAGAAAGACTCACCCTGAGACATGGGAACACACATCTTTCATTACTGAGAATAAAACCAACATTCCCCAGCAGGCCCTGCTGCAGCTCTGGGTTTCTCTGGTGACCTAAAGCCACTCACAGCTGTGCACCCAGCCCGGATTCCCAGCAACCACAAGCTTTGGGCCCATGGGACAGTTTATCACAACTGCACACACTATTTAAGGCCCCAGAAATGTCACCAACATTGTATAGTGCACATGTCTAGATCAGGGCCCCTCTGAAACTTCTCCCGTCTTAATAAGAGAAACGAGGATCGTTTGTGGCCCATGATCCTCAGTCTGGACGTCAGCCTGCACGCGGATGGAAGCCTCCTGGATGTTTAGTTCCCACTGGTGCCCCAAGCCCAGTCACCCGAGGCTCTGGGTACCAACTACTGCAGTAAATCCCCGCCTAACCTCGTCACAGGCTCGTTACAAGGTCAAATTAATTCGAGAAGGCCTTTAAACCCAATCAGGCCCCCTACAAACAGGCGCTTATACAATACGGAGAAGGAGTCTGGAGTCTTCCAAACTACCTGTCCTGCACTGCAATGTAGGTGTTTTTCCTGGGGGAGGGGAGCTACGTGGTCCTATTTCATGTCTGAATGGCGGTGGGTTTGCACTGCAAAGCGGCTCCATAAATCATCACGTCTGAGGGAAGCTGTGGGGGGAGGACGGCAGCCAGAGGAGAACCAGGACCCAGGTCCACCCTCACGCGTGGGACGACCTTCGGGCAAGGAAACCCTCCCGGCCTCACTTTCCTCCCTCAGAGGCAGAAGAGTGCTCCCTCCGCTGACTCCCGGAGCTCCTTGAAGGAGAAATGAGAAGGTGAGAAGGCGCCTGATCAGAAACTGGGAGGCAGACCGGCCGAGCGGCTCAGTTAGTTAAGAGCTCGCTCAAGAGTGCGAGCTCTGGGCCGGCCAAGTGGCATGATGGTTAAGAACTCGCTTGGGATGCCAGAGGGCCCCGGTTCGGATCCCACATATGAGGGCCAGTGACACTGCCCTCCACAGCTAAGATGCTGAACAACAGCTCAACCTGGAGCTGGGCTGCTGTGAGTCGCCCGCGATGGTGTAGGCTGCAGCCCCTGCTGCAGTGGATTGCCATGGGCTACCGTGTGTAGCCGGCAGCCAGTGTGAGTGGCCAGCAACCGCAGTGAGCGGCCGTCCAGAAGCCGGCGACTGATCTGCCTCACCCGGGAAGAGCGCAATGATGGTGCCAACTTGGGCCAGTGAAGCAACGTCCTCCACAACTAGACTGAAGAACAAAAAAAGGACAGCAACTTGTCTGTTCCCCTTCCCCAATTCCCCAGCGCTTGTTCCCATCCACCCAATTCCCCAATAAAAATCTTAAAAAAAAAAAAAGAGTGTGAGCTCTGAGCAACAGGGTGGTCGGTTCGATTCCCAACCCAAGCTGAACTGCTGCTGAGTTGCCAACAGGTGGCAGGATGGCTCAGCTAAAAAAAAAGAAAAGGAAAAAAAAACAAAACAAGGAGACTCATGCAAAGTCAAGGGCTTGCATTTGGGGGCTGTGGTTCTAGGGGGCCCCTGGGTGTCCATCTGTGTGGTCTGACGATTTGGTACAGGTCAGCCCCAAATGGGCTCATAAAGGATGCAGGGCCATGTCATTAGGCCTGCTCATTCAATCACTGCCCCCGTCACTGTCACTGGCATTAACTGTGCATGAGACAGACCCCTGCGCAGTCTTCCATGCAGCTATTTCTGCACTCTGCACTCTGAAGCCCAGACTAAGGCTGCCACCTGCTCCCAATCACAAATCCCCAGACCAGAAATCTGGGAGCTGCCCCCCCCCCCGCACCACACACTTCACATCCAGCCTCCAGAAGCCACGCTAGCAGAGAACTTCAGCCACCCGTGCCGAACCTGACTGAATCCTGCACCAGCCAGGCACCATGGTGACCAGGCAGAGGACATCGAACCATGGGACAGGGCCAAAGTCAGACGCCTGGCAGAGTCACATGGGCCATGCCAGCTGCTTTCTGGAAGCCAGAATTCCCAGTTCAATTCCTACCTTGTGTTTGGGGAAAAAGTGTTTTCACAGCACCGATACAGTGGGCATAACACTAGGTTTTCAAGCGTATTGCGTGGGAAGTGAGGCGTGCTTTGTGAAGATTTTGCATGGTGCTTGGGTCTGTGGTTTGGGGAAATTCAACACACTTAGCCCTGTGGAATTAAGTGGGATGAAGGTCTTCCAAGGTATGCAAATGGCCACCAGTTTCCACATCCTTACACCTGTTACCTCCCTCTATCTGACTTCTTTATACGTCCTTCGAGCTACAGAAAGGTGGGGTCCCCCGAGCCCTCAACACCTTCAATGTCAGATTCAGCCCTGGCAGGATGAGATGGACGGAAGCAAAGGGCGCCTGTGACAGCCGTGACCGCCATGCACTGCTCACAGGTTCACGCCTGATCCTGCCCGGTTACAGGAGGATCGATGATTTGAATCGCTGGGGCCAACAGAGCCGGGACACAAAGACCAAGTTATAGGAAACATGGGATGTTCAGACGAGTGCCTCACCAGTTTTGACGGTCAGCATGGTGGTGACATTGGTCCCACACGCCTGGTAGCTGGTCTTCACCCCATACAGCACCCCAGCCTCCAGCCCAGCCACCTCCAGAGTCGTCCCCTGGGTCCAGGCACTCCTGAGCAGCTCCTCACCCCTGTAAACCTGCACGTGGAAAGTGCGGTTCTGGGTGGAATTTAAGCTCCAGGACACATGAAAGCTGCTGCTAGTGACGTTGAGGACCATGTGGTCTCTGATGGGAGGGCCATCTGTGAAGGACAGAAAGAGGAAGGTGAGGAGAGAGGCAGGCAGAGGCAACAAAGCAAAAAAGCAACAAGTGAGCACACAGGCTGAAACGCTTCTGCACAACGAAGGGAACCAGCATCAAGATGACAAGGCGACCTCGGGAGAGGGAGCAGGTATTTGCTACTCAGATGCCTGACAAGGGGTTAGTATTTAAAAGGTGTATGGAACTCAGCCATCTCGAGAGCAAAAACACCAAATGACCCAGTTACAAAATGGGCAAAAAATCTGGACAGACACTTGCCCAAAGAAGAGGTACCTTACATGAAAAGATGTTCAGCGTCACCAATCACCAGGGACATGCAAGTCAAACCCACAGTGACAGATCACCTCTTCCCGGGTAGAAGGGCGTCATCGAGAAGATAAGAGGTAACAAGTGCCAGCAAGGATGCTGAGAAGGGGACCCCCCCATGCGCTGTGGGAAGGGGTGTAAATTGGTGCAGTCACTATGGAAACCAGTGTGGAGGGTCCTCAGAAAATTAAAACCAGAACCTTATGACCCAGCAATTCCACTTCAGGGCATTTACCTGGAAGAAATGAAATCACCATCTCAGAGAGATTTCTATACCCTGATGGTCATCGCAGCATTTTTCACAATAACCAAGATGGAAGCAACCTAAGTTGCTTTTGCAGCTGGGGCCATATGGTGTGTCATGCACTGCAGTGTCCTCCACAATTCATATGTTGACATCCCAACTCACAGTACAGCAGAATGCGACTGTATTTAGGGTCTTTAAAGAGGTAATTAAGTTAAAGTGAGGCCCTTCAGATGGGTCCTACTCTAATGTGACTACGTCCTTTAGAGAAAGGAAGCCAGTGTCAGGAGTCAGGCTGAGGCCCCTCATGTTTTCATATGGAAATCCATGTTTTGGGGAATAATAGTGTAATATAACACTCTAGCATATAGCACTCTAATACAACAGCTATCAGTATAACAATTAACCTATATTTTTAATACATAAATAGAATTAAATATCTTTTTTGGAAGAAAAATTCTGGCTGACAGCAGGCACCTGGTTTTATACAAAAAGTAGGTTGGCCCTCAGTCTAGGAACAATCATTGTTTCATCAGAATTTGAGTTCTGTTAAAAGCAAGCCATAGGAAGATTTTTTTAAGAAATCTTTTGTAAAACCATAGTAAAAAAAAAAGAAAAAAGAGTTCAAAAGTATCTGAAGTTTCCTAAAGCCCTTCATGTAAGGACTCATAAAATATGTTTTCTAGTATCATGAAAAAAAATCTACCTTTTCAGATAAATGTAAATGTAAAAAATAAAAACCAGTACAACTCAGCCCGTTCCCCTTTTTGCCTCGGCGGCCAAGAGGCTCAGAATCAAGTGTAGCGTCCCACCCTGGTCCTGTGACTCAGCCCTGCTGGGCCCTCCTGCAGCTGAGCACTGAGCCGCCTTTTATAAGCGGGTGCCACTGTGAACCCCTGGGGACCCCCCTCCAAGTTGGTGAATATAAACTCCTGGAAGGTCACAAGAGAGGAGAGCCCGGCACCCCCTGCCGTACTTGGTAGGACGGGGGACCTCCATCTAAATTCTCGCTGTGCCCTGATAAGTCCCGTAGGATCGGGGGCTACCGTGCGTTGGAAGAAGACAACACCTGTGCTTTTCAGGCTTCTGCCCTCCGGAACTGTGAGAAAATACAGCTCTGTTGTTTTATTCTCTTTTTAAAAATGAACTTGCTCTTTTTCTTTGCACACTTTGACCCTTTTTCTGTTGTTTGAAACCACAGATTTGTGGCACTTGGTTACAGCAGCCACAGGAAACAAATGTACTTCCCAATCTCCCTTAACTAGCTTTCAAGGCAGCTGTTGGCTGGACAGCACAGCTTGTTGGAACATTCTTTGTGCTGCTGCAAAATCAGTCAGCTCCTGACGCATGGAGGCTGATCCCACTTCTGTAGGGCAGAGCTTGAGATGTTAAATGTGAAACTATCCTTCTGCTGCTTCCCCTCGAACTCAGATTTTAGTCCTTCGTCAGCCAGGATACCCTCCTCTCATGACCCTTAGCTCTCTGCACCCTTCTCCAAATGTGGCCCTAGAAAGCAACACCCAATCCTTGACTCTGTGTGACCCGAGGATAGACGCTGCCGTGTGGTCCTCTCCACCTTGCTGTTGAGGACTTAACCTTTGTATCTCCCCTTGACCTTTATCTCGGTGAGGCACATGGGACTCCCCATTCCGTGGGTCTGGCCCTGTTTCTTCTGGGGGGGGGGCGGGCTGCAGGGGGCCGCCGCCTTCCCCAGGATCTCCTGTGTTGGGCTCATTTCTTCTTTTCCCTTGGGCCTGTCACCCTGATGCCTGATCCTTGTAAAGGTAGAAATGCTGAGGATTCGAGCCAGGAGTCTGAGCACTCAGTTGGGGTTGAAGACTCTTGGTTCGGGTGAGCCTGAGAGGCAACTTCCTGCCAGCCTGGCTGCCTCTCCAGCGGGCAGCCCTGCTCTGGCCAAGCACAAGTTCAGGACACATTTCTTTACGGAGCTGAATAGCTCTTAGGTTCCAGCTGGGAAGGGGACCATGTCAAAGGGAGTTAGGATGACCCTTGCATACAGTTCTACTGCGCTCTAAAAACAGGGCATGTCCCTGGAACGTTACATGCCAACTGTGCAATATTTCCTACGGTTTCTGTTTTTTTGCAAGGATCCAGCTGCCCCGCGTGTCATTAATTGGGTGACTAATTTCACAAGAAAAGCATGTAAAATTGGTGCTGTATTTTCCACGGGTTTGTACCTTAAACCATTCCAACAGATTGCTCATTTCTATTAGCTTCTAAATTTAAAACATATGCTGCTTCCCTTAGCAAAATGGGATTGGAATTCAGTCTGAAGTTCTGAGCTGGCAGAGCTGGAGCTGCCTTTTCTGCCCTAAGAGGGGCAGAGTCGGGCGGTGAGCCTTCCCCACCTGTGTTCACCTGCCAAAGAAATGACCCATTATCTGCAAGGAAGCTCAGAACTCAGTTTTCGGGCAGCATAGGGCGGAGTCTGGCTGACAACTTTCCTAGCTATAAATAGAGTCTAATATTTTTTGTCAGATTATTGACCACAGTATTTTTAATAACTGTGTTCCAACCTCCTGTTCTCAGTCACAGCACAGGACTCCACCCCTGGAGGCCACAGTCCACGAGGCCCAAGGATGGTCTGCAGGGGTTCTGGCACAGTTCTAATCAGACCCTCAAAGTCGTGAGCTGCATAGTAGAGGGGTACCTTGTTGCCAGAGGAGCTGGTAGGCACCACTCACACACTCAGAGATCCGAGGGATACCCACCCCTCAAACCTCCCTTTTCATTCATTCATCTCAAATATGTGTTGAGTGCCTACTACAATGTGATATTTGCCAGTGACCAGGAGACCTCCCCGTGGAGCCTCATCCTGGGGGAGGTAGAACATTCCAGTGGGTGAGGACTGGCCCCGGACCCCTCCGGGTCCTCAGGTGGCGCTGGGAACCGGCCCCTTCCCCACGTCGGCAGGCAGCCTCCCCCACCCACAGCAGAGAGAGGAGTCAGTAGGGACCTTCCAGCCATGGTCCTGCTGGGTCACAGATCACAAAAGCAAGCAGTGCACGGCTCTGGCACTCTGGTCAGCTCCTGGCCTTCGGTGTGGATGAGGGAGGAAGGGCACAGCCACCGGGCATCACAAGCGCTGTGCCAAAGGCAGCCCCTGGGGGCCGCACCGCGGGGAGGCGCCTAGTGGGGTGGCTGTGAGGAGTAAATGAGGTGACACCACAAAGTGCTCATTGCAGAGCCTGGGTGACTTAAGGGCTCTGGCTGTGTTACTGTGAACAAAGGGAGGGTCCTCGCTGTCACGTCCCTTTCAAGAGGAGAGGACATGCGAGTTCAATTAAAGGATTCAAACGTGATTGTAATACTATTCTCCTTAACCACTTCACGATGTCAGTGAAAGTTCTGGTTTTTAGGGCAGTACATTGGGAGCACCCAAAGGCCCCCTCCCCCCACGAGGGAAGTAGCCAAGAGCATTATATCATTACATTATCATTATTATTCAACCATCAAAAATCAGAATTATGGAGACCAGGTTGCTTCTTGGAAATCTTTCATATGACATAATGGTGAGTGAAGAAAGCAGAATACAAAATTGCATGGATAGCAGGATTTAAGTAGGATAAAAAGCCTGGAGGGGAAAAATAAAACGTTTGCGGGAGCACAGAGCCCGGGGAAGACTTATCCTTCCACTGTTAGAATGTGGTTAATCTATCAGATTCTGGAAAGACAAGAGAAAGTGGCCAAATTGGACAAGCGAGGTCTGCTCCAGGCTAAACGCTTGGAGTCCAGCAAAGTCCCATCCTGCAGCCTCCCCCCACCAACCCCCTGCCTGTAGGCTGTGCCAGCTGTCCTGGGGAGGCCTGGTGTCTGCCTGGCAGGTGCACCTCCCACCCCACCCCCTGCCGCTCTCCCACCACCAGCCACCTGCTCCCAGGACCCTTCCTTGCCCAAGTTACTTAGGTTGGGACCAGCTGCTCCTTGTGATAGGAAACCGCACATAATGGAGTTCAACGCCGTCAGGTATACCCTTCACATTGGGAACATCTATGGTATGGCAGGCCCAGGCACCTTCACTGTCTTTGCTCCTCCATCCACAGAGTCTGGGCCTTATCCTCAAGGTCATCATGTGGCTCAGATGGCCATCACAGTCCCATGTCCACCCCGGTCTTAGCAGGTCCCATAACCCTTAAGCAGTCTTTCTAACTCCCATGGGGACTTCTGCTACATGTCATTCGCTAAGGCAAGTCACATGGCCACTCTACCTGCAAGGAAAGTAGGGAAATGTAGTCTTTTCAGCTGGGCACATTTTCACACAACTCAATTCAAGTTCCGTCACTAAAGAAAGAGTGCATTTGGGGTCTGCCACGACCTATCTAGTCTATTCTCCAGGTCACACCTGCTGCTGCTGGGTGCCCGCCAGAGTGCTCGTCTAACTCAGAGCATGGTCCTGCCAGAGTCCTCACTGCTCCTCAGCTGCTGCTAAGGCCACACAAAGAGGGGCAGCACATACCACGGAAGAACAGGACACCACCTATAAAATATGAAGGAGTTTTCCTAAAGAGAGAGTCACCTCTGAATCTGACAGCGCCTCCACAGCAGGGGTTCTTAATCTGGACAGGGCACCAGGGGCCAACACCAGGGCTCCCAAAATTCAGGTGAGAAAAGAAATCTTTGTTTTCTCTGACCTCTGACTAAAACACGGCTTTTCCTTCAACTGTGACTTTGGTACCCATAGAAATCAGATAGTCTCATCTCCCAGGACCATGTGGCAGTTCTCAGGGCAGCATCGGTGCTCATGGCGCCCATCGCTAAACCTCATGATGTAGTAAGTGAATGAAGGTGCCAACAGACTACCACTCCATTTGGGTTCTCCTGGAAGCAGGCCGTCTGTTTGGGAAATTTGGGTAGTAAGTGGGTGACACAGGGAAAGGAAGGTGACAGTGAAGGACTTGCTATTAAGACGGAGCCAGAGTAGATGACTGGAGCTCGGTCCCTCAGGACGCTCTAGAACATGAGGCCACATATCCCGCCTCCCCTGAAGGGTGACAAAGTGAGGGCTTCGGGGGAGTGGGGGAGGGCTGCGCAGTTGCCAAGTGCAGCAATGCGCAGCTGACTGAAGGGCGTGGGAGGGGACAGCATGGCTAGGGACAGCTGTGTCACCCCTTGCAGTTGTAAGATTTTAGCAACTGAGTCTCAGTGTAGTCAGTTTGTTCTATCACCCTATATTCTGTGTACTTGGGGACATCTGTGAGGGCACCCATTGGCTGGCTTTACCAGAACTAAAGGGACCTGAGCGCCATTAAAGGGAGGGGCCTGCCCCAAAGACAACTGTGGTTCACAGAAGACCCAGAGGAGGGGACAGAGCGATGGGGAGCCCCGATGCTGGCAGATCCCAGCCCATGGGGGACTCAGCTGGGCGACAGGAGCCAGGTCCTCCAACAGCCACAGGGAGAAACAGAAATGGCGGGGAACCCTCCAGACAGGAAAAAAGAGAATAACTTAAGAGATATCATCACTTAACAATTATCATCATAATTGTTGGATCTGATTTAACTTGCAATTGAAACAGTTAAAAGATTAGGATAACAGTGAGAAAATTAGAAATGCCAACAGACTGGGTGTTTGATGCTATTAAAAGATTATTGTTTTGGCTTTTTAAGGGATATGATACGGTGTTGTGGATTTTTAAAAAATGTCTCTCTTACCTCTTAGAGATACATTCTGAAACAGTGACAGATGAAATCATATGATGAAGGGAATTTCATAGGGTTGGGGGTGGGGGGAATGGATTGGGATGGAGATGAAGCAAGATGTATTTATAGTTGTCTACAATTTTCGAGAGAAAAAAAGATAAAAATCCTCATGGCCCTGCCATGTTTGCACAACATGGACCCAGCCTGGCTCTGCCCCCCGTCTCTGACCACTTCTTTTCGGCTCTGGCCTCCTGGATCTTGGACCCAAGCACACGCCATGGCTGGGGCACTGACTTGACTCTCTGTACTAGTCTCCTGTGACTGCTGTAAGGCATCACCACAAACTGAGTGGCCTAAGAGAAATTTACTCTCACAATTCTGGAGGTCAGAAGCCTAAAATCCAGGTGTCCATGGGGCTGGTTCCTCCTGGAGGCTCGAGGAGAGAAACATTTCCTGCCTTTTCTGGTCTCTAGGGGCACCTGAACTACCTGGCTGGCGGTCTCTTCTCCATTTTCAAGGCCAGCAGGGCAGCCTGGTCTGCCCTCTCTGCTTCCCTTGTCACATCTTCTCTCTCTCACTCTGGCACTCCTGCCTCCCTCGGATTATCTGGCATAATCTCACCATCTCAAGATCTTTAGCCTTATCCCACCTGCAAAGTTCCTTTTGCCGTGGAAGGTAACAGTCACAGGTCCCGGGGGGACATCTGTGGGGCCATTATTCAGCTCACCACGTTCCTCCTTCTCACTCATTGGCTTGTCCCCCAGATGGCCTCATGCCTTGCTCCCCCACTCTGCTTGGGTCTCTGCCCAAAGGTCACCCTGTCACCATAGGGTGTCCTGTCCCATCTGTCACTCTCCTACGTCATTTCCCTTCATAGCCAAACCATCGCCCCATGTTCTGTGTTTATCCATGTCTTGTCACCTCCCCCACAGAAATGTGAGTTTCAAGGGAGCAGGACTCTTGGACACTGAACTATCCCGGTAAGAACCATATCTGGTGCGTAGTAGGCCCTCATTAAAATGTGTCCTATAGGGCTGGCCGAGTGGCGCGATGGTTAAGAACTGGCTTGGGACGCCTTAGGGCCCTGGTTCGGATCCCATGTGTGAG